ATCTGCGTCAGCGCGTTTTGCAGAGCTGGACACGAGCGCATGATAAACAAGTGCTTGATGGCGCGGAATGCGAGCGGCAGGTCAGGTGTGGAGGCGAGTTTTTGGAACTCGGTAATCCAGTCCTGACTGAGTAGCGTATTCTGATGGAGCTTGTTGAGCTTGTCCATCGCTTGCAGGTCGGGCAGCTCCACTTGGAATCGCTTGTGCCAGGCGTCAGTCAACTCCTGCCAAGTGAGCTTGGTGTGCAGTTCCGACACAGCTACGCCGTGGCTGGTCAAGATGTTCTCCAGCCATGCTTGACACGCACCACCAGATCGGTGGTACAAGCACGGATGTCGATCGTTGTTCGAGACATGGTGCATGTCGAGCCTGAGAGTAAACTGGCGCCACCACGGGATCGGTTCCGTCTTGGACTGATCGCAGAAAACTAGAATGTCATCTAGCTTGGGTGGGCGCCTGGAGGATGCGGCGGCGGGCGTCACGGTGGCAGCAGCCTGGACCTGCGTCTCCAACTGCAAGTTCGTTGCTTGCTGCGACGTCCTGAAGTCCTGATGCACACGCTTGATATTGTTTACGTCGTCCTCCAAAACTTGAACACGGGTGGCAAGGTTTGAAGGCCATGCGGCTGCTACAGCAGCTGGCTGTTTTTCCAACGCCTGCAGCCGTGCGAGCATCTGGTCCACTGTCTGCTGCAGGTGAAGGATTTCCTCCTGCTGCAGAACGCAGGTGGCCAAGAGGTCGTGGGAGACCTGCGCAAGGGCTGACAACCCTTTCTCAGTCTCCGGGGCCTCGTCTGCAGATGCCACTTGCACCCAATGTGCGGCCTCATCGCCGATCACGGTCTCCCGCGTAAACAGTCATTCCCGCTGGCGTGACCGGTGTTCGGCTGTCGCCTGCAGGTCTGCCTCCTCTTGACAAAGTCGGTCCTGTTCTTCCCTCTGTTGCTTGGCCTCCTCTTCTTGCTCAATCCGACCACGTTCCTTGGCCGCGGCGGCAGCCCTGTCATTGCCCTCCTGGATGAAAGCAGTCAGGCGTTCCTCATAGGCCAGGAGGGATTCTCCCTCCTTCCGGTCCATGGTCTTGGTCTGTGATCGAGTGAGTCGTGGCATGCACTGCTCTGAAGAGTCACCTATGGGCCAATCAGATAGACTGGCCCAGTATTCGAACTGGAGGGGAAAGAACAGGTAGGCAGCAGACAGGTGGGAAGGATCAGACAGATCCCAA